CTGGGGGCCAGCTTTGCAGGCAAGGTGTTTGCCCAAACGCCCCGCCCTCCCACTTTTGCCCCCCAGGGCCTTTCCCCAGCGCTCCCACCCTATGACCTGCTCCAGGCTGCTCGGTCCTTGGGAACTCAGCTTCTCAGAAGCACATTCCCATCTCTGGAGACCTCGGGGACACTGGTGCCCCTCGGCCTGCTGCCTCTTCCTATTCCCTTTCCTTCCCAGGACTTCCTCCCTCCTCGGAATCTGTTACAACAAAAGTTGACATGTGAGCTGCCACGGATGGTTTCCACCCTGGAGGATGGGGAGCCTGCTTTTCTCTTCTACTTAGAGAGCCTGGGCAGGAGGGACTTTATTTCCCCACTCCCTCCCCTGTTTCATGGCTGAGACCAGCACTGGGGTTTTGCAGCAGCCCAGTGGCCAAGCTAGCCCAGAACATAGTCCTGAGCCCAAGACCCTGGACATTGGCACAGCGGGTGGGGGGAAGCAGGGGCCTGTGATGACTTCCAGTTAGTCGTAGGGCAAGGCTTCTTCCCCTGGAGCCCAGGGAAACCCCAGGGGCCCAGGGTGAAGCACTTCCCCAACTCACAGGCCTGCTCTGAAGGGGAACTCTGCTGACGCTGCTGGGCTCTCCCTGCGGCCTTGTGGGAATTTCAGGAGCCTCACCGAAGGGAAGAGGGAAAAGAACAGCTACAAGCTGCCTGCCGGGCCGCCACTTTGCCCCCTCCCCAAGCCCTCCCTGGCCTGGGGCAGGCCCCCTGGACAGCAGGGACCCAGGACTGGACTTGAGTACACTGATGAGCAGCAGTAAGACTGGGGCGCTAGGGAGTCCACATCCCTTCTGCCCGCCCCCACCCCAGCCACCAGCCCTGAGGCGGATGTGGTGAGCTCCAGGTGTGCGTGGGGGGTCTGGGCCCCTGGGCTGGAGCGAAAAAATATTGGCAGCTGAACTGCGAAGCAGAGACGTTCAGGTGTGTGGGGACAGTACCCTGGAGTGGGAGTTGCCCCCGCTCCCACCCTAGCTGCATGGAATTTCAGAGCCCAAATCCCTAGGCCCTCAACCCCCTGAGTGTACAATCCTGTGCCCTTTGTAAGACCCTTCCAGCCCTGCTGCAGACTCCTATGTCCAGACCGTCTTGGACGGCTACAGCTAGGACCCGTTGTGGACCCCCAAGCCCTCCACTTGGCTGGTTAACTCTGAATTCCTCCCAGTTGTGTGCTGATGTGTCTCTGTGTGTTGGAGCATCATCTGTTTTGCAATGCTGGAGGCAGCGCTTGTAGCTTGTGTGTGCTTCGGGGCATCCCTCGGGGGAGAGAAGCCTCAAGGACTCCAAAGATTCCTGGGGCCAGGTCACCTTCTCAGGCCTCAGTGTCCCCACTTTTAAGATGGGAGTTTATAATAAACCAGCTGCTCAGCCACACTTGTTCCAAGGCTCTGAGGCTGTGCCACTGCCTGGACACCTGCAGGGTTCCATCCCTCCTTCCTAGGCCAGTCTGGAGGCTGATGTGGCCAAGCCCACAACAGAGCCAAGGAGTCTGGGCCACAGATCCCAGCGGCTGATAACGGGCCCTTATCCTTGGCATCAGCCTGGCAAATGACTTAATGGCTGACTCCAGGGGCAAATTACAGAGCACGCAAAAGGATAGTCAGGTCCAGTCTTGCTGACCCGTGGGGCTGGCGTCACCTCCTCTGCTGGGAGCCACCGGCTTCCAGCTCCAAGGGGAGGAGCAGACAGGGCTGGCCAGCTGGGATCCTGGCTTAGAAGTGAAAATCAACTCAGCAGTGTGGGGGCTCCAGCCTCTTCCCGTCCTGGGGAGAGCAGCCTGCACCTTGCCGGGAAGCCCCCCGTGGGAGAGGGAGTGTACTGATGAAGGTTTGTGCTAGTGGCTCAGTCCCCGGGGCCCTGGCCAGCACTCTGGCCAGGACCAGTGATTTCTGCCCAAGCTGGCTCCATATATGTCCCCCACTCAATGCCACTTGCTTTGGGGCTGTCCCCTTTTCAGCTCTGGAGCCCAGGCTCAAGGAGGCCTGACTTAACCATGAAGGACGGGCTCCGCTTGGCCTCTTTCCCCTATTCCCAAACTAGGGAAACCCCCACCCCCATAACTGGGCGAAAGCCTGGGCTCGGGGTAAGAGAAGAGGGGGAAGAGGACAGAACCCACATCCCACCCCCACTTCTGCTCTGACTAAAGATCCCCTCACCCTTGGTGAGTCATGACCCAGGATGTCTCTCCCCCTCTCCACCTCCTCAAGGACCACTGGTCCCCGCAGGGCTCTGGACACGTGAGTGGAGAACAGTGTAAGGAGGGGTCTGGCTTACACTGGATGCCCCACAGGCTGCAAGTCCTAGAGGGCAGAGGGAGGGGAGGCGTGGCCATACTCAGAGGTGTTGCAAATTTTTGTTTTCCCGGACTGGCTGTTACAGAGCAGGCAATGAAGTAAGATCGGGGCTCAGTCTTTTTTTAATTAAAATACCTACCTGGAACAAATGATGATTGTGCCATTCTTGTTTGTAACCATCTATTTTGACGTCTGTTTACATGTCACTGGCCTCCTGCCTTCGGGATTCCGGGTCTTTCCCTGCCCCGCCAGCCCAGCCGCCCAGCTCATGCCCCCCTTCCCCACCTCGGGTAAGCAGCTTCCCTTCCACGGGCGCTCAAAGCTCTGTGCTGATGTGGCCTTGCGTTGTGCTGTTTTCCCTCCTCCTCCCAAACCCACACCCCAAGCAGATGCCCCGAGGGAGAGAGGAAGAAATGAATGGTGTGATATGACCCTTAGGCCAGGGCAGGTATGAAGGTGAGAGTGACGAGTGACAGCCACCCCCAGCCTGCCTGAGCAGTGAGTCAGGGTGACATCAGGTTTCCTGTGCCAGGTCTCAGCCAAGGCGGCGCGGTGGCCACCCCCACAGGCTCCCGCCAGACGGGGACAGTGACTCCCCGCTCTGCCAAGATGGCCCTGTCCAGCCAGCAGGGAAGGCGGAGTCGAGGAGGGCAGAGATGGGAGGAGAGGGAGGAGAGAGTCCCTTCGGGCAGCCAGCCCTCCACAAGACAGACTCAGAAGTGGCCCACGCATGGCCGAAGGGGCTGGCGTCTGTCCCCATGTGTGTCCCGACACTTGGGCAGCCTTGCTGAGGACGGTCACCCAGACACAAGGGACACATCCAGAAGAAAGTCTCCATCTGGGGTTGATGTGGCTTTCATGGCCCTCGAATATTGCTTTTCCGCCTTTTAGCAAAGGCTCTGCACCTTCTCAGAGCATCCACAACCTGGCCACACATTCCTTTCTGTATTTATTTATTTACCAGGCCCCTCATTCAAAAAATATATGCTGAGTACCTACTGTGTGCCAGGTACTGTTCTGGGTGCTGGAGATACACAGTAAATCACCTCGGAGAGCTGACCTCATTGTTAGCATAATATTAATTTCTGTGATTATGTTTTGTTCATGGCAAGTGATACTAGTTATTCACCAAGAGTAACGATATGGTTTCCTTTTAAGATAAATTTTAGGTTTGTAAAATCTGAGCTGAATTGTACAGATGGTACCTAAAGATGTTTTTTAAAAAAAGTGTGAAGCAGGTAGCAGACACTGGAGTCTTTGCCCAGAAGAGGATCCCTGCCGCTCCTTCTAGCTTTGGCACGATGCCCTTCTGTGGCGTTCAGTTCTCCTCCTGCCATGGTCTCCCATCAAGAGAGGAGCATGAGGCATGGAGGTGATGAGAGAAGGCCGTGGCCCGAAGGAAGGGGGTCTAGAAGAGCCAAACTCATTGCCAAGGCCAGAGCCAGCTCCACTGGTTGGGGTCCCTTCCTGCTCTGTGGGCATGTCCATCAAGGGGACCTGGGTTTGGCTGCATCCCTGGATGTGCCTGGGCTTGGAGCCAGAGGAGACCCCCCCTCAGTCTCTTCCCATGCCACACACCCACTCCCAGCACACTCTTGGCCCCCAACCCATGGCCACCACAGTGATTAAACAGGTCCCATTCCCACCTGTTGACCAGAGGTACCCTTGGCTTGGGCCCAGGTAGCCAAGGGGAGAGGAAGTTACTAAGGAAGGGCTCTGTCACTAATAGTAACAGTTGGGCAAGAGGTGAGGGATTCTCAGAAATGTGACCGCACTGTGGTCACAGGGTCTGTGACAAGAGGACTCCCAGGGCTCCCCCGCAGGAAGAGCTGGGTACAGTGTGAGGGGTGGCAAGAGGACTTCGAGGCTCAGAGGAGCCAGAGACTACTCCTCCCCACTTTGTCACCCCGGCACCTTTACCACCATCAAAGACTAGGCTGGGCCACTATCCTGAAGACCAGTAATACCAGGAATATGAAGGCAATGTCATCAGGTTGCCTTGGCTCAAACACAGCTGGGCTGCTTCCTCGCTGTGTGTCCTTGGACAAGTGATTTAACCTCTCTGTGCTTTCATTAAAAAATAGCGATTACTAGCGCTGTGCTAGGTGCCTTCGAGGCATTACTGCATCTCAGCTTCAGGGCTTGGGGTTGGCATCACTACCCTCACTTTGCAGATAGGGAAACTGAGGCCCAAAGTGTTTAGGATGCTGAACCAAGGCTGCACAGCCTGAAGATGGGAGCTCTGGGACTGGAACCAGGGCTTCAGCCACTAGACTGCCCTGCTTCTGGGCCCACTTGTGTCCTGTATCACCCCCTCGCCAGCACACAGCTCCTGCCAGGCCTCATCTCTCTCCATAATGACAACTACACAACTAACCCTGATTGATGCTTGCCCTGTGCCTGGCCCTCTTCTAAGACCTTTGCAGGAATTACTGCATTTAAACCACAAAGAACCCTGAGGGGTGGGAAAGATTGGTACCCCAGATGCAAATGAGGGAACCAAGGCATTGAGAGGCTAACTAACTTACTCAGCTGTCATGGTTAGCAGGTGGTAGAAACAGAGCTTGAATTCTGGAAGCCGGGTCCCCACCCCACCTGCCGAGGCTCTCCCCATCCACCTCCCACCCTCACCCGAAGCCCTCCTATCTCTCTGCTGGACTCTGGCCACACATGCCATGATCTCGGAGGACCCTGCTATTTTTAGGGTTATCAGTGCTGTCTCCTCGGCTCAGCTACAGACTCCTTGGGGACGCACAAGGCACAGGGCATGGAGAAGCACAGGGCCCAGCTCACAGTGGGAGCCTGAGGATGCATCTCTGTAGATGTGGTGCCTTATCTCTGTGCCCCCAGCTAGCCCTCATGCAGAAAGTCGGTTACTGAGGAAGTTGAAAACCCACAACCTTGGACAGAAGTCAGTGTCAGGATGGGACCTGCCTGGTCCCTCCCCACACCCTGCCCCCGCTCCATGGCAGAAGAGATGCCCTGGGGCCTTCCTAGCAGAGGATGGTTCCAGAGAGTAAATACATCAGCGTGTGAGTGGAAGAGCCCCTTGTAACGTGTGCAGGGATTTAGATGTCCCGAGTTCCAGGGCGGGCTCTGCCAGCACAGCTCAGAGGTCCTGGGCTCACTGATGCCACGGGATTCCCTCGTGTCCCAGCACTCATGCACCCACCAGGGATTTGGAGAGCCAGGCTCCGATCTGGGTGTTGGGGCTGCACCACAAGCAGGACTGATAAGCTTCCTGCCCTCGTGGGGCTGACCTTCCAGTGAGGAGACAGAAACTAGTAAAAATTTACAGTGAGATGTTGGGGAGGCGGACGAGGGGAGGAGAGAAATAGGTGAGGAAGATGAAGAGGTACAAACTTCCAGTTGCAAAATACGTGACTCATGGGTATGAAGTGTACAGCGTGGGAACATAGTCAATAATTATGTAATATCTTCGGATGGTGACAGAGTATCTAGACTTACTATGGTGATTGTTTTGAAATGCATAGAAACATGGAGTCACTATGTTGTGTAAAAGGAACTAGCACGTGTTGTGGTTTAATTATATTTCCAAAACAAACAAAAAACTCATAGAAAAATTGATCAGATTTATGGTTACCAGAATGGGGGGACTAGGGGGACTGGATGAAGGCCGTCAAAACGTACAAACTTCCAGTTGTAAGACAAATAAGTACAAGGGATGTAACGTACAACATGGTAAATGCAATTAACGCTACTGCATGTTGTATAAGAACATGGTTAGGAGGAAATCCTGAGTTCTTATCGCAAAGAAAAAAACAGATTTTTTTCTGTTTCTTTAATTTTGTATCTGTAGGAGATGATGGATGTTCACTAAACTTGACACAGTCATCATTTCAGGGTGGATGTAAGTCAGATCATGATGCGGTCCACCCTAAACTTACACAGGGCTGTATGTCAGGTATATCTCTATAAAACTTGAAGGAAAAAATGAGATCATGTCATCCAAGGGTGGGTGCTGTGGATGACGCCCCAGAGGGGAATGAGATCGAGGGGGAAGCCTCCAGGAGGAGTGGCCTTGGAGCTGTAACTTGAGGGATGAGAACGGGCCAGCCAGGGAGGAGGCAGGGAAGCGCAATACCAGCCAGCAATCGGAGGCGGCACGGGGGTGGGGGGTGTTGGTGGGGGCAAGGACATAGGCCCTGCATTGGAAGAAGCTGGCAGGCCCCCAGAGTTGCTGGGCGGGCGACTGGAGAGTCAGAGTTCCAGCAGCTTTACAGCCAGTTCCTATTGGATCTGGTTGGCCTGAGTAGATCTGATTTGATTAAAAGGACAATGAGAATTGTTGGAGGGTTTTAATTAAGGGGAGCCACCCACCTGATTGACACCAGAACAGCCCCTCCGGCTGTAGGTGGAGAATGGCTCGTGGCTGCAGGGAGATCAAGGGATGGTGACTGGACCTGGGGTTGCAGTGAATGCAGTGGGGCAGATCCAGGATCAGGTGTGGGGAGAACAGACAGGAATTGTGGACAGAGCAGGGGAGAAGGGCTCCTGGGTTTGAACTGAGCAGGGCGGGTGGGAGGCTGACTAAGAAAATGAGGAAGCCTGAGCCTTCTTCCCCTCCTTCCTGACCCCCGGGCTCGCCTGGGCACGTGCGCCATGGGACAGGGGACTCCGGAACCAGGGAGGGATGCCAGCTGCTGCGTGTGGTCCCCCCACTCCAGGGCTCACCTTTACAACCAGGAGAAGGACACCTGTGCAGGCACAGGACAGAGAAGAGAGGTTCTGGGGGGCTGAGGAGCGGCCTGGGGGCCGAGGCTGGGGTTGTGCAGCACAGATGGCTGGGGGTGGATGCCAGAGAGGAAGTGCCTTCCGAGGATTAGGGAGGATTAGGACCTCAAATCGGATTATGGTGCCCTTGAAGATGACAGCTTCTGAAAAAGCTGAAGCCATCATTGCTCAGAGAGTCGCCCTGGACCCCCACAACCACAAGCGCACATACACGTGCACACAGACACTCACACACCTGCCCTCACTGGTACACACAGTGTCACACGTCATCAAACATGATCAGACCCAAGCCCCTTCCCATCACCTATGGACCTTTGCTCGTGCCACTGGGATGTGGCCTCCCCAGCTCCAGGACAACCCACAGAAACCCCTCCATGAGCAGTCCCACCCCAGTAGCCCCAGGGGCCAATCCACAGACCTGCAGGCCCAGCCCTGGCTCCGGGACCCACTGCACTGTCTCACGGACACCCACCTGCCTGTGCAGCCCACAAACCTTCACACCTGACCACCTGTCCTGAGACCTGTCCCGAGACCTGTCCCTGCCCAGCAGCACCCCACTCCCGTTTAACTTGGGTACAAGTCCCCAAATCCATTTCTCACTCAGACATCTCAGATGTGACAGTCCCCTTCCCTACATGGCCGCTGTACCCTGTCTGCACTGCCGCAGAAAAAAGTTGGCTTTCTGCCTGGTAGGGGGTCCAAGTAGGGCCATTCCTCAGGGCTGGCCTCAGCCCGCTGGAGGCTCACACACACACATACACCTTGCAGCGTCGTCTCCTGCATCAGTGCTCTTCTTTGGAGGGGATGTCACCTTGAGGTTAAACAAGATTGCCCATAGTAGTCTTTGATTTTGAAAATACTGTGGTAATGGCTTTCCTGAGTGACAGGCACTGTGCTGGCTGCCCCAGGAACACTTCACTATGAGCTGGGCTTTCCTGTCATCCCCACTGACACAATCCCTTGGAGCCCATCCACTGCCCCAAGTCAGGAACCCCCGCTCCAGGGAGAGGGCAGCCCAGCCAGAGCTGCCCAAGGGGCCAGGCCAGGCGGCCCCCTCGGCAGGCCCTTCTCGAGCATCCCAACCAGGAAGTTTCTCCCTGCTGCCCCTGCTCCTTTCCAGGGTGTAGCTGCTGGCCCTGTCGCCAGACCGACTCACGCACAGCCCGGCCTAGGTGAGGATTGCCTGCCTCAGTTTCCCCAGGGGCAGGAGCAGGCCTTGGATTTAGTCTGAGACAGGACAGGCCTCTGGAGGCTAGGCCAGGCAGGGGCAGTAGCGGCCTAGGCTCAGCTTCCCAGAGCCAGCAGGGGCCAGGCGTGGCCAGGCACCCGGTGGTCCTGCCATCGTGGGGCTGGCTGGCTGGGTTGCAAGATCACCCGGCAGTGGGCCCGAGTGAGGGCGGGCAGCAGGCCAGCACAAGGCCATGGGCCCCAGGGCGCAGCCCCAAAGACAACAGTCATTAGGCCGGAAACCCAGGCAGTGGGAGCTTCCTCATTGCTGGTCTGGGAGCTGAGGGCGAGGGAGGGACACCAGGCACACAGGAGGGCTGGGAGGATGTGCTGCCCTTGCCGGTAAGAGGACCCACAGAAGGGCAGAAGGTGGTGCCAGGGAGGCATCTGGTGCAGCAGCCAGAAAGTCCTGCCGCTGGGAGGCCATCTGCCCCACCTCCCCGCCCCCTTCCCAGCCCCACTTCTCCTCTCCCTTCTCTCCCCTTCTTTCCCCTCCTCCCCAGCCCCTCTCTCCTCCCTCCACTCCTTCAGGCTGCCTTCCACCCTCAGCTGCCTTCCACCCTCAGCCTTTTTACTAATATCCACCTCAGGCAGAGGTGGCCCAGGAAGGCGGAGGAGCAGTGAGGTGAGGCAGGGACCCGGCCCCAGTCTCAGTGGGTGACCCTGGGCAAGGCTCCTCTCCGCAGGGCTGCAGCCTCCTCATGCGGACAGGAAGGTTGGGGCCCCTGACGGCCGCACGTGCTTGAGTGTGGAGCCCACGTCTCCCTGCTCAGAGACCACGAGCAGTGACGGCCCAGATCACACTCATGGGCCTGGCCTTGAGGGCCCCGCTGATTTCTCCTCAGGCCAGGGTCTCTGGGAGCCCCCTCCATCCTGCCCTGCGGCACCACACCCATTCCAGACCCAGCACAGCTTGGGCACATGCCTTGTGGGGAGAGCAGGGTGGGCAGCCGCAGCCAGAAGAGGAGCTCAGCCACCATTCCCTGAGCGTCAGGGCAAGGTACCCCCACCATCCTGCCCCCCTACCCTGCCCGCCAGCCAGGCCTACCCTCAGCCTGAGGTTTATGTCATCAAGGCAGAAGGGGTGCTAGGAAACCAGGACTATGAGGTCAGGACACAGAACTTCCCCAGCACCCCCATAAGGAAGGTGCGGAAGAGCCTGGAGACATCTTTTCCCTCTGGGTGCCAAAGCCCCTCACTGAGGCCGGGGGATGGCAGGCACAAACTGAAGAGTTCCTTCCAGCACAGGAGGCGCACGCTCTAGAACAAGAGTTTTGGTAGCTTCCCCATGTACCAGGATCGCATCTCCCTGCACCCTTCGCCACCCATCAGACCCTTTTGCCTAGCCACAAGCTCCAGTCCAGAATGTCCAGTTTGCTGATGGGCCCAGCTGGGAGCCACTCAGAATGTAGAGCCACATTCCCCAGGTCCTGGAGGCCAGACCAGCACTAGATAACCCTCTGCTGCCCCATCTGAGACCCCGAGAGCTTCCTGGCTCTGTTCCAGCAGTCCCATGATGTTGCCTCATTTTAAAAAATTAACTGATTTACTTAAAATGATGTACATATACCACTGTACTCTTATGCCATTATCAAACATACACAAACACTAAAAAGGCTAGATAAAACTAAACACAAGTGTCAGTCTAACAGGTTCTTCCTACACTCTAGCAGACCTAGATCCCACTGAGGAACAGCATGTTTAATGATGGGGGGAGGGTGCTCTTGAGGTTTTCTAAGTAGTAAAGAGTTTGTTTATAAAAAAAACAAAATTTATTGGAGCACCCAAAGGTAATGGGAGATTAGTTAGAAAGACCCACAGCTATGTCACTGAGGCCTCTCGAAGAACTAGAATGGCCTGGGACAGTGTTGAAACTGGACATGAGATTGAACAAGGATCATCACTTCCTGGCTGAAAGCAAGAACCATTTGGCAATATTTTCAAACTCACACTTCTGCAGACTTACCATGTGCTAGCTACATTTCACCACATTCTCATCAGTTTTACATCACTTTAAGAGATAGGAATTGCTCATTCTCCCCATTTTGCAGATGAAAAAAACTGAGACTCAGAGATTTTCCTTAGCGTGCTCAAGGTTGAGCTAGAATGCCAGCCCTTTCTTTTCCCATGTAGTCCCTATGCTCTGTGCCTTGGTCCTGCCTCCCCGACAACAGTGAGCAACACCATGGTGTATCCGGATCCCAAACCCACTACCCATGGCCTACGGGAGAGGTTCCCAAGGATGGGCAGCAGGCCTGCTGGGCTGTCTTCCTTCATGGCTCCTGGCAGCCTCTGATCTTGGCTGGAGTCAGCAGTCACCCCCCTTGCCCACCCAAAGGGAGCAGGACCCCCAGAAGGGGACCTCACATGTAGTTACAAATTAGAGGGGCCAGATTCCATCTTCCAGGGACTGGGAACCCCCTTCCACCTCGGACAGAAGCCCACCTCGCCTCCACCTCCAGGAAGCCTGCCTGGTAGCCCTCATGGAGCACTGACTCCCTCTTAGGAGCACAACAGCACCGCTGAGCCCTCCAGGGCTTGCTGTCCATTGGCTCATCTTCTGTGATCGCCCACCTCCCCACTCAGAGCTCCAGGGGCTGGAGGCTTCCTTGCTGGCACCCTGGACATGGAGGGACTGGGTACTGGAGCATCCAGAGCAGTGGGATGGCCGAGTGGGTCTGGAGGGCACTGGGTAAGACAGTGACCAGCTGCCTGAAAGCCCTGAGGAGAGGCCAGGTGGGGTTCACCCCACATTCACCCTGCAGGGGAACAGGGCCACTCCTCCAGACTGGGTCCAGTGGCCGGGGGGGGGGGTGGACAGGTTCCAGTGAGGAAGAGGCCTCACAGCCCCTGTCAACCAATGAAACAGAAACTGCTTGCATACGAGCGACGGGGTGGCATCTTCCCCTTCCCAGCGAGCACTGCTGGGCGGCCCCTTGCGGGCGGCCGGCTGGTGGGCAGGCGCAGTGAGTCATGTCACCCCAGCCTCAGCAGCCTCCTGGGGAAGGGCCTCGCCTGGCTGTTGTGGGAATTGAATGAGCTGCCATCCGGGAAGGCATCATTTTGGAAATTATGAAGGGCTATCTCGGTGTAAAATGTAAATCTTTAAGGAACAACAGGCTCATGAGTGTGGGGAAGTGGGTGGCCTCCCAGGACGCCCTTCCCTCTCCTTGTGTCCCCTTCAGAACTTTAAGTGCACTTCCCGGAAGTTGTGGTCACTTCTGCTTATGCCCCAGGGGCCAGAGGGTGGTCATGTGGCCACACCTACCTGCAGGGAAAGCTTTGATTATCCTGGGCATCTATGGGCCCAGCTAAAATCCCAATCTCCACTGTCCCAAGCAGGCTTGTCAAAAACCGACACCATTTAACACTCATCCAAGATAACAGAAAAGCAGAATTCTTACAACACTACAAATAGAAAAATAAGTCTTCTTCACCCCAACAAACATCATACTTAACAATGAAACTCTGGGATCATCTTCCACGAAGGAGGAGGAAGACAAGTGAACCCACCCAGACAGCTACTATGCCACGATCTAGGGGTCCTGGGGGTCCTTCAATAGGGCAGGAAAGAGATATCAGAGAAGAGCATAAAAGATCATTCTTCAGGGAACTATATTCAAGACCTTGTAATAACTTTTAATGAAAAAGAGTATGAAAATGAACATATGTGTGTATATATGTGTATGACTGGGACATTGTGTTGTACACCAGAAATTGACACATTGTAACTGACTATACTTCAGTTAAAAAAAAGATCATTATTTGTCGAAAATATGACTGCCTAAGAGAATCATCTGACAAGTGCTAGGATTAAAAAGGGAAGTCAGCGATCACCAGATACACGGTCATCATACAACAATCGTTGCTTTTCTAAACACCAGAAAAACCAAGGAGAAATTGTAACGGAATATTGCCATTCAAAATACTAACCCAAACTGTAAGGTACCAAGAACTAAGCCTCACAGGAATGCGTAAGACCTGTATGAAGACAGCTATAAAATTTGGCTGAAGGACAAGATAGAGTTAATTACACAGATAATTGTGCCGTGCCCTTCAGCAGGAACATTTGCATAAAGATGTCGGGTCCCACCTGACTTGATCTGTGAGTGATCACAACCCAATCAAAATGACAAGCAGTTTTAATGGGATCTGACAAGCCGGTTTTCATAGTCAACCGAAAGAGAAAATGTCCAAAAATAGCAAAGAAAAAGAGAAAATGTCCAAAAATAGCCAAGAAATTTTTGAAAATTAAGAACAAAGAGGTCTCTCTTGATACAAAAATAAACTGCAAAAGTCTAATGATTTTAAAAGAGTGTTTCTGGCATAGTAACAGACAAATGGATCAATGGAACCAACTAGAAATTCAAAAGCCCAGTGTGATAAAGGTGGCATTTCAAACCAAAAGAGCCAAGATTGGACTTTACAATATGTAGCAAGACTAGAACTGGCTGTCCATTAAAAGAATTTTTTGATCCATGTCTCATATCATTCACAAATATATAAGGTCAAAATATACAAGTTTTAGGGAATATGTTTGGGATAGAAGAGCTTAAACAAAATAAAGAACACAAAAGCCATGTATGAAAGAACTGAAAGCTTTGACCTCATATAAATTAAAATTTTCTGTACAATCAAATTCACCATAAACAAAGGTAAAGAGCAAGCGACAGACATGGAGAAAATATTAGAAAAGCAACAGATAAAAGGTTATTTTATTCATTCATTCATTCATGGAACAATTAATTAGGGGGTACCTACTATGTGCCAGGCGTGGTCCTAGGTGCTGGAAATATGAGCACGAACAAATGACAAACCCCTGCCCTCTTGGTTCTTATATTTTAACAGGGCAGGGAGGGAAGGCAGTCATGAAAGAAAAAAAAACAGGGAAGGAGGAAAGGGAGTGTGGAGAAGGCAGGTAAGATGTGAGGCCCTCTGAATGTGAATAAGAAAAAGTCAAGGAACACAATAGAAAAAGGACAAAGAGCAGCAACTTAGAATTCACAGACCAAGAAATGCAAATGTCCAGGAAGCATGCAAAACGCGGGCTCTCCCCACTGAAGGGATGCAGGGGCATTATTTGTCCATCAGGCTGGGAACCATCAGTGCTGGGAGGGGCCGGGAGATGGGCAACCTCGTGTCCTGTTGCTGGGAGTGTCAGCTGGTCTCTTTCTTTAGAGGGCAGTTGGTCAGGACCTATCCAAACGTGGAAAACCCTTTGACCCCAAGAA